CGATTAAAAATAATGAAAATTATTGAGAAAGAAAAAAGTTTATATATACCATTTAGATCGTTTGAAACTTTTGAGTATCCGGAACTTGGTAATTCTAAAAATGTAGTGTGGAATTTGAAAACTGCATCAAAATTGGAAAAACTACGTTACGTAATAATTGGATTACAAAAAGGGCGAAAGAACACACTTGAAAAAGAGTGTAGTTTTTTTGATAATTGTAAATTGACGAACGTTAAAGTGATTTTAAATTCAAACATATACCCGTATGATAATTTAAACCTTGATTTTGATAAGAATAATTTTACATTACTTTACGATATGTATGCATCATTTCAAGAATCTTATTATGAGAAAGGGGAACGAAATCCAATATTACGTCCGACTGAGTTTTGTAAGCATGCACCGATTATAGTCATAGATACTTCAAAACAGAACGATACAGGAACGGCGTCAACCGTTGATGTTACTTTAGAACTCGAATCATCGGATAGTTTTGTAGGAGTCACTGCATATTGTTTTTTAATTCATGACCGTATTGTTGAGTATGTTCCATTAACGAGAGAAGAAAACTTGTTTAAACTCTATGAATTCTAGTTTAATATTAATTTATTATTTTTTACTATTGTTATTTTATAGTTAAAAAGCTTGACCAATTGATATTGGGTTGATTACAAAATAAACTACTTGAATAATGAATTCATAAATGGTGTTTTAATTTTTCCTAAATTATAGTTTATAAATTAAAAAGTGTCATACTGAGTCCAAAATCGTGAAAAAAGTGTCATACTGAGTCCATAATTTACGAAAAAGTTTTGTGCGAATTTGTGTAGAAGGGAAAAACGAAAAATCTGAGACGGACTTTCTACCTAAATTTGGTGAAATTACCGTGCTATGACATTTTTGCATTTTTGGAATTACAGGGAAAAACGAAAAAGTTTACCGTGGTGCCGTCGGTCAAATATTTTGAATCTCCCTGTAATGGAAAAAATTATGGACTCAGAACATACAAAAACACTCTTACTTCTGGGTGTTTGTCGGTTGCACTATCATCTGTGTACTGAAGAAGATTGGGTGGTGATCGCTAGCGATGTCCTCATCTAGCACTCGCCAGTCTTGAATCTTCCTGGAGACCGACGACGAGGCAAAAGTCACAATAATGTGGGACTCTTGTCCGCGGCGCTCAAATGTGGGTGCTCGACCCTGATTTATCACTGAGCCCGAGCGAGTTCGCCATGTCTGTAAATCACTTTTGGCATACATCGAAGGAGAGCCCCAACTTAGAGAATGTGCGTTGAAGTCTCCTGCCACAATGACCTCTCTGGGTCCCTGGTGAATGCAGTCGCTCAAGTTACTAAGGTAAGCTCAGTAATCTATCAAAGAATGTTTATTGCTCGGAGAAAAATAGCAGCTATATACTCTGCAAGACAGAAAATCCACCCACACATATCCTTCCCCTAGCCCGCTGTTCATCACCTCGACGTCCTTTAACAAGAGGAGACAGCATGAGTCGTCGGTGCTACCGTACCAAATGTCGTTGTCTGGTATTTTATTTGGCTCGCTAATGATGGCCACATCGGCCTTGTGTTCGTACATCATTTGCGACAGGAGGGCTTGGGCCGCTCTCGCCTTGTTAAGGTTTACTTGTATAAAGTTTAAAATTTCAGTTGCGAATGTGCCTCTTGAGACTCCTTTGCTAACACTGACCTAAACACCGTTGCTTCGTCCGCTTCTGCTACGCAGTCCTTGGCCTTGTGCCCTGTTTTACCGCAACGCTTACAATTTGCACTACGATCCATACCCTGACATGACTTGGAGTCATAACCATAAGCCAGGCATCTAAAGCATCTCGCACTCCTTACCACTTGCCGTACCCTGCAGCTCACGACACTGATCTTCGGTTGGCCTTTGTCGACTATAACACGTGCCTGGCTAATAGGCAGGAGCACCAATGCTGTCTGAGTGCCTCCATAGGGAGCTCTCAGACTGACTACATAAATAATCGATTTATCGACGACAGTCTCCCTTTCAATGGAGTCCGCGATGTCCTCTTTACTTGTTCATGCATCGATGTCCCTGATTTAGAGCATAGTGTTTTGCTGAAGCAACCTAACGCTGGCATCTTGTCCCGCTGATTTGGCTACCTCAGCCCTTAAGGTCTCCACAGATGCAACATCCCTTCGTTCTTCCAGGAGTAATCCGCCGTTCTTGGCTTGCTTCATACCTGTAATACTGTTTCCAACGATGTTGCAATCCATACCGTCTTTAATACGTTTCACAAGCGCAGGGTAGTCATTGCTGTTTGCAATATCTACCATTATAACGAGTGGACGCGTTCTAACTCATTGCTGCCTAGTAGCCAGTGGAGGGCCCGTAGCTGGCCCTGATGATGGTATCACGTCGGCGACATTCTTGTTTATAGCTTTCTTTGTGGATGGCTTTCTCCTGACCACATCGGTCCAGGTTCCAACTTGGCTCTCCTGATGTGTATCTCGCAGTTGTCGCTGATTACGGTACTGTAGCGGTGGACTCTGTTCCAGTTGTTGTTACCGCTATTGGGGGTTTTTGTTGCTGCTTCTTATCCTTGCCCTGCTGTGGCTGGTCCAACAGCACCTGTTGCTGATTTTCTTGCACCTCCCTCTGTTGTTGCGATACCTGTTGCTGCAGCCCACACAGCATTTGTCAATCATAAATATTGTATACATGTTTGATTTTAATTTGAATACAAATATTTAATTTAAAAGTTAATGCAATATTGAATATATATTTAATTTATTAGGTTTAGTTTCAAAACATTGCATAATTTTTTATAAACATTGTACAAAAAATATTTAATTTTCAATGAAAATTTTAAGTTTTCATAAAGTTAAAATTTATAATTTATTAAACATACCAGGATAAATAATTATTCAACATTGAGAAATTTACAAATATACTATAATTAATTTAAATGTTTAATTTGTATTAAATTTTGATTGAAAAACAAATGTTTTATTTCAAATTTAAATGTATAGTTAATTAATGTTAAGAAATGATTTAAATTTAATATTTATATATATTGAATATAAATATATATATATCTATATTATTAATATAGGTATTATATATATATATATATAAATATATATATATATATATATATATATATATCTATATATATAAAAATTTCGTGTCACGATGTATGTTCGCGATAAACTCCGAAATTACTGGACCGATTTTGATGAAATTTTTTACACCGTGTGTAATTTGGTCCAACTTAAAAGATAGGATAGTTTTTATTTCAAATTTTTTAATAAATTAAATATTTAAATTAACTTTTTAATAAATTTGTATTATTGCATGGTGTATTTTGGGTTTTCCTGTGACCGTCAGCGATAGTATCTATCTGTAAATTGGCCTTTTTTCTATTGTGTGTGTTTTATCGTCGGCGGCGTGTAGATATGAATTGTTCCGAGAATTATCTCCATAATTTTTTTTTTTTTTTTATTAGCTATTAGTATGTACTTATCTCCATAATATATAGGATAGTTTTTATTTCGATTAAGGCCCTCAATATTTTTGCATTGCAATTATTGTAATAAAGAAAGTTATTGAATTTTCGAGAAAGATCCACAGTGTTTGAGTGATGTCGTATAAAATGTTCCCTAAACCGTCGTACTAGAAATTTCAATCTTCAAAGGTATAAAATGCGAAGTTCGGTACGACGTATTCATCAGTATTATTCAGTGAAGTGTAAGTGTAGTGACGTTTCTATTGAAGACCTCAAACTATTTAACTGAAGTAGGGTTGCCATACGTCCCGGTTTTGCCGGGACAGTACCGGTTTTGAGTATGGCGTCCCGGTGTCCCGATAATGTGTTTCGGGACAGCGTTTTGTCCCGGAATGAGACTTCAATAATTTATGTATGTCTTTTATATTAGGCATTTGATGAAAAGACAGAAAAAACCATAATAATGTTGCTATGATAAAAATAATAACAAGTTGAATGAAAAACAAAAAAACATAGAACGTGCAAAATGCACACAAAATAGGTATAATATATTGTAAAATCAGTTAATCAAAAAAAAATTTAAAAAAGTTTGTCCCGGTTTTTGCCAAATACAATATGGTAATCCTAAACTGAAGTAAGTACAACATTTTATTTCTTATTCGCACTTTTGGAGTTAGACGTTCGTGGTTTTATTTATGTTATTTATATTTGTTTATATTATCAATAAATAACTTTGTAATTTACTCATTCATTGCAGACTATATGTTCTATCCTTAATCCCGAAGGTTATTATTAGTGACATTATATGAATATTGATTTGACATACTCAATAGTTTACTTTACGCTATGATCTCCAAAACCACTAATAAACTACAAATAAAAAAAAAAAAAAATTATTTTCTCATTGGTACATAATAAGTAATAATAATATAACACTAATACATGGCCACGAAAATGCCAAAAAACAAACTAATACGCGGGCAACGCCGTGTCGGGACAGCTAGTATATATATATATTATATATAGGTATTGGATATAAGACTAATTAATTACATTTTTTAAATTAATATTATATTTGTACATTGTAGTGGGTTAGTGTATACTAGGTTCCTATAAACTACCTATATAGAGTATATAATAGAGATCTCCAAAGTCAGTCTCAGTATAATATTATTTTGTAGTAATAACTTTTGTAGACAAAAACCTTATCAAATGCTGTCATTATATCAAAAAGGGGGTAAGTTGATGAGAAAAAATATTTAAGTTAAGTTGATAAATAGTTAATAAACAATATATTCAATACTAAAATTTTAGTTTTAAGAAAATGTTTAACTCAGTTAAAAAAGTTAATTAAATATTGTTTAATTACCACCTTTATCAAACTAGTTCGACAAATATAGGTTGTGCAACTTTTAATATTTTTTAAATGATTACCTAATATTCTGTCATAAACACATTTTATTTCTTCTTGTTGAAGCAATATTCTTGCTATTGTTTAGTGTGTAGTGTGTACTGGCAGTAACATAAAATATAGTACTAATGTACATAATGTCAAATTGCCAAAACGTAAAATATTACATTAATAATAAATAAGAATTATACAATACAAATATATATATATATATATATATATATATTATATATGATGTTGAAATTAAAGTTTGAGTTGACTGAGTTAGGATTTAGGTATTTTATGTAGATAAATAGCACAACAATAATCATGGTAAATAGGTACTGTAATTTTAATATAAATGTTTTTACTAATTATACCATTGGTAATATTGGATTGACTTTCAAATTAACGTTTTACAATATCAATTTATACAAAACTGTAGGCTGTACAGATAATTACATTATACATATTTACAAATAATATATACAAAATAATCATAGATCAATAGATCACCTATAAGATCACTTAAAGAGTGACTGATTTATTAGTATAATAATGTTACTGTGTATACTTTATGGCTTTATGCCTATCTAATATACTAAAATATATCTATATATTTAATTGTCTTATCAAGAAAAATAACAGACATTTTTGTGTTATAATATAGTATAGTTGGATTATTTCTATTTTTTATAATTATATTTACATACAAATAAAAAAATACAACATTTTTTAACATGATAGATTATTTTTTAATTTAACTGTAAAAAGCTAAGTTATTTCAAGTGTCAATTAAACTAATTAAGTTCAAAAGTTTTTAATGTCCATGGAGATGAAAGCCATCCAAAGTCCATCACATGAAAGTGATCAAATACAACTTTGGAAATCCAATGAATGTGAACCAGAAAACTATGAAAACGAAACTCACTATGTTAAAATATTTGAAGTAGGTACAATCTTTACCTAAGTATGTTTTAAAAGATATTAAAATATGATTGTCAAATAAATATTTGTAAATAATTTTTGTTTCAGACATCAAATGCTATCTACAATTCTAGCTAGACGATAATCGATAGCTATAAATAATAATCAATTGTCAATGTTATTAGAAACCTACCAATAACAAATTTTCTAAAAATTAACGTATGCCCTGTGGATTTTTTTTCTATTTATGAAGTAGGTATACGAGCGTATACGTACGTATTGGTGTTACTTTTATAAAGTATACGCTAAATCACCAAGATGGTTCGCGGGTATACGTCGTATACCCGCGTATACCCTCCAAAACACCACTGCAGTATACACTATTGGACTATTGCATCAGTGATTGCTTGGGTTTTGGAACAATTAAAGCAATTTCGAAATAAATGTTATTAGTTATTTTAATAAAAAATGAAATTGTCAAAAAAACGAATTAGCGAAATCGTTGGACGATAAAAATAATAAATAAGATGATAAGAATTCGGCCTCCTGGTCGTGATATACAGCTGATAATACCACACACTGCAACTACGATAAGGTTGTTGTTGTCGGCCGCTGTATATATATATATCTATATATCTGTGTGTTGGATTTATCAGACTATTTTTAGAAATGCCCGTACATTACTGCTGCAGTATTGACTATAACCACGGTCCACACTCCACAATTAAAGATATACATATACCAATTATTTTATAGTAAATCTTTATAATAATCGTGACCATTATTATAACAAGCAAAATGCCAAGCTATATTTATTGATATTTTCTATTCCACATTTTACGCTTTGCGCTCTCGTCTTTCATCGCGTCGTTTAAAGTGTTTGTCTCGTACGCATATAGCTGGTTGCTGGTACTCGTTCCATACTCCGTGTTTCGGTAGTCGTGCTCCAGTTTACCTTACACATTTTACATCGTCTAACGCTTTGTATTCTTGCGTTGTTTTAAGACGTGTTTGTCTCGTACGCATATAGCTGCAGGTTGCTGGTACTCGGGTACAATACGGTTATAATCGGGGTTATAATAGATACTCGCGTGTGCATATTATAAAATCCTCGTGTTTGAGTCGACGTAAGTATAATTGTTTAAAACATTGTTGACTTTAAGTGTATATCTAATTACATTTTTATTTAAATTATTGTTCATAGGTATAGTTATTTCAACATTCAATATTGCGCCTTCCACTACAGCCACTAATAGCTTCCATTCAACCTAATTTGTAATCAATTAACTGTTAAATATATTATACAGCGATACCTATATTGCCAGATTATACATTTACAGACGGAGGTACCTACTTATTGTAAAACTAAAAATTTTTTACAGCAGTCTTTTAAAATTTATAGAATATAATATTGTTATTTTAGTAGGTGGTATACTATTATATTATTAGGTAGATATCTATATAGTATAATGTCTCATCAAACAATAAGTAAATCTACAAAAAGGCGTAGGTTTTTAGAAGAAGTTGAAGTGGTAGATCTTTATAGGGTGGATGAAATTGAATCCAATTCTCAATTTAGTCAATTTGATAGATATATTAATAATACCCATTTGCATGAAATTCCAAATGAAACTTCAGGTAGTTCTTATGACATAAATACAACAAATGTTCCCAGCACATCAGAAGAAATTCCTGACACAGTAGGTTCGTATTTAAATTGGCCAGTAGTTAATGACTTGCAATTAAACATATCTGAATCTGATGATGACATAAATAGTGATAATGAAGCTCCAGGTAGTTTTTTTAATTTTTTTAACGACAATAAAAATTGTATTATCAACAAAATTGTTCAATGGGCCGTTACATATAATATAACTAATGTAGCTTTATCAGCACTGTTAAAAGTTTTAAAACAACACAAATGTTTTAGTGAATTCCCAGCAGATGCTAGAACTGTTCTTAAAACCAACGTATCTAAAATAAACATTCAAACTGAAATTCAATCTGTACATCCTGGAATTTATTATCATTTCGGAGTTGAAAATGGTCTTAAAGCTTTAAGTAATAGTTTAAATTTTACAGAAGAAAATATTAACATATTTATCGGGATTGACGGATTGCCCCTCACAAAAAGTTCATCAAGTTGTTTTTGGCCGATTTTAGGAAGTGTTGAAAGTAAATTTGTCAGTTACCCTATTGTTTTTTTAATTGGTTTGTATTGGGGAAAAGATAAACCAAAAGACAGTAATTTGTTTTTAAAAGATTTGGTTGATGAACTTATAGAATTGTCAAAAAATGGTAGTATGAAAATATCACCTAATAAAAAATTTGTGTATGCATATGGTTTTTGTTGCGATGCCCCAGCCAAAAGTTTTGTTTTGAAAACTAAGGGCCACACAGGTTTTTTTTCATGCTCAAAATGCACAACTGAAGGTGTTTATTTAGAAAATAGAGTTTGTTTTCCTAATACAACATTTACTAAACGAACACATAATGATTTTTTACTTCGTTTAAATGAAGAATATCATGTAACTGATACAATGTCATTAATTACCAAAGTACCACACATTGATATAATTAATAGTTTCCCCTTGGATTACATGCATTTGGTATGTTTAGGTGTAGTGAAAAAACTAATTTTTTTATGGTTAGGTAATTTAAAAATGCACCATTGTCTGTTCGTTTACAAAGTAAAAATGCCACCATAATTTCAAATCATCTCTTATCACTTAAGCCATTCATTACTTGTGATTTTTCTAGAGTTCCTAGAAGTTTAACAGAAGTAGCAAGATGGAAAGCTACTGAGTTTAGACTTTTTCTCCTCTATACAGGTCCTGTAGTTTTAAAGTCTATACTAACTGATGAATGTTATTCTCATTTTATTTGCTTAAACGTTTGCTTTAGAATACTTTTGGATCCTTATATTAAAAATAATGAATTAATAAACTTTTGTGGCAGAGTGCTAACATATTTTGTTAAAAAATTTGGAAAACTTTATGGAAATCAATTCATATCACACAATGTCCATGGTTTGTTACATGTTGTAGATGATTTTAAAAAATATGGTCCACTTGACAAATGTTCATGTTTTCCATTTGAAAACTATTTAAAAAATCTAAAAAAAATGGTTAGAAAATCAGAAAAACCATTGGAACAAGTTGTTAAACGATATACAGAGTATTTAACATTTTGTGAACCTAATATTCCAGTATCTCAGTCACAAAATAAAATTGAATTTAAAACATCACATAATGATGGTCCATTATTAGAAGGTTTTGATGGACTTCAATTTAAATCTGCCATAATTAATGATATAAAAATTAATATTCAATCAATCTCAAACTGTTACATAGGATTTATAAAGCAAGATAAACTCGTAATTTGTAAAGTAATAAATATATTAAGTAAAAATAATAATGAAAGTGTTTTTATAATAAATATATTTGATCACATTAAACCATTTTATGAAAAACCATTGAATAGTCTTAAATTAGGTATTGCTGTTGTTGATAATTTATCATCTAATTACTATTCAATTAATATTTGCAGTTTAAAATTTAAAAAGTATATGTTATTAAACACAACCCAAACTTTGAGAGTTGCTTTTCCTGTATTACATCATTAATTACTCTGTATACCTACAAATGTATAATAATAATAAAAAATAATTAACTATATTTATTCGCCTAAGATATTATTGTATAATTTTACGATCAAATTTTTTTTCTATTCATGATTTGTATTATTTAAAAAATAAAGGTTAACAATTTGGACTAAAGATGTTTCCAACATATTCTGCAGTACATTTTTATGACGACGAAAGTGTTGAAGCCGTACCAAGTGATTGGGTCAAAGGTGATTTGTGTGCTTGGCCCACAAATCAAAATTGTGTATCGAAATATATTCAAAATAAACATAAGCCTAATGATTTTGATTTTACATACTTGAAAGCAAGAGTACTCGTGAAAGGAATAAGTATGACTCATAATTATATATTACTAACAGCAATACAGCATTTTCCAAATGTCATGTGATGGGTATACGCTATTTAGTATTTTACCAATTATATGTGTTTACCAATATTTATAAAAAAAAAATTAATTAGATATAAATTATTAATTAATTGATATAACTATAAATTATATTAATACTATTCTTAAATTACTAAATAGCTACTCATAAAAAAAAAAAAAAAAAAAAAAAAAAAAAAAATGAAAATTATTCATAATGTAGTATGTTAATGTATCTATTTACCTATACTTAAATATTTTTTTTATAGAATCTTTAACAGAAGCTAGAGATAAAGCTGAAGAAGCTAGATACCGTTCAGATTTTTCTACTGATGATGACAATTTTTTACTTAAATCAATTGATGTTTCAAATTCACCAGCTCAATCAATTTCATCTATTCCTGTATATTCAGGTAAATTTAAACATTTGTTTTTATATATTTATATGTATATGTGTATATATATAAACTAATTAAACAATATGTAATGTTTAACTACTTATTAAATTTATGATGTAGAAGAGTCTGACTGTGATGATAATATGTACAGCAAAAATCAAAAAATTAATTCACCGCAAAAAAAAATTGAACAACTTTTTGAAGCTGAACTACAGCCTGGCTGGTCACCATCACCGAAAAAAATAAAAAGTACTATTTTCATTTATATAATTTAGTAGTTTTTTAATTTATATAGTAATAATTAATGATACTAAATAATATATGTACATATATCATTTTTATCAGTTATGAAGAAACCATCATTTGAAGAAGTTACATCTGATATCAAATCAGCTGCATGTCCCCAGCCCCCCCACCTCGGACTTTCGACTTCAAATTTTTACAGTCGTTTGTGCTTCGTTTGTGCTTGTTTGTGCTTTTATTCCCGTCGTTTGTGCTCAACCC